GATTGTTTTCAACTAGATGCTGTTGTACTGCATCAGCTACCACACCAGTTAGTAATTTGAAAGTTGTTGGTAAGCAGGTAATTGGCCTGTAGTTACCTGGTGTTGCCCCTCTTGCTGGATTTTTCATTATTAGGTAGGTTTTTCCAGTTGTTAGCCACTTTTCAATTTCTCCTCCTTGTAGTATATTGTTGAACTGCTTGGCAATGAGTGGGTGTATAACAGTTAGATGTTTCAACCAAAACCCATGCAGTTCATCTTCACCTGGTGCTGACCAATTTTTGATTTTCTTTGCTCTTTTTTCTACCATTTTTGTTGTTATTACTAGTTCTTTCATTTCAACTTCTGTTTTATTTGCATCCACCTCTTTTAACCAAGCCGCATCCTTGTTGTATTTCTTTGGGTTATCCCATATCTGCTTCCAGAACTGCACTGTTTCTTCCTTGTCAGGTACTGACTGATTCCTTGCAGTTTCTCCATTGATGATTGGTAGAAACGTTTCTGATTGGATTGAAATTGGAGGTTCTGCCTATAGTTTGCAATTCGAGCTTCATATCTACTGATTTTCCTGGCTATAGCTGTTATTTGTTGCTTTATTATTTCCAGTGCTTCCTTGATCTTCCTTGTTTCTAAGTGGTATTTCTTGATTAGGTATTCTTTGGTCTTCTTGTTCTTCAGCTTCTTTTCTTTCATCTGTTCTAGCTTGCTTGCATGTGATCTTAACTTGCTGATCTTATTTTCTAGTCTAACCTTCCATTTTTGTGGTGCACTGTTTGTTTGTTTTTCTTTTTTGTTGATTTTGCATCCCAGGTATTCTGTTATAACTGCAGCTGTGCTGTACATTAGTTGGTTTGTTTCTTGCAGTGAATTGGTGCTTATACTTGATATTGCAGTATTTGCATCTTTTAATGCTTGTGCTAGCTGTTTCTTTGGAACAAGCTTCAATGCAGGTAGCCTTATTCTGTTGTTTTTGTGCTGTTCTAGATGCTCAGTTATTCTTTGTTTCAATTCTTTTATTTCTTTAGTTAGAGGGTTTTGTTCTTCCTGAGGAAGAGGTGCCTGGTTTCCAAATGAGAACAGTTGTATATCTCTACTGGATTCTTTCACTGCCAACTCCCCCTGGTTTGCCTCTACATTCTGAATTACTTCTTGTAAGGCTTTGATTTCTTTGCCCTGGGTAAACCTTTGCAGTTCGTCCAATTCTGTTTCTGTGAATACTTTATTTCGTGTTATAAATCGGCGTTGATCTGCTAGTCTCTGTTCTGTTATTTCTGATTCTGGATGTTGTTCTTTCCAGAATTGGTGCATTCGTTTTAGATATCCTCGTCTTGTTGGACTTGATCTGTAGTAACAGATCATTATTTCTTTGTTTTCCATCACTGTGTATCTGCGACGGGTAAACACCTTTTCTTCCAGTAGTTCTGCAGCTGCTGGCCCTGGTTGCTCAGCCAACAGTCCTGAGTCCTGTAACCCATTTTTCACCAGATATCCAGGAACTCCAATATCTAGCGCGGACCTTGTTAACCCGGGCGACGTCCGAGCCGGTATGGCATTCTGCAATTTACGTCTCACCATATTTTTATGGGAGAGACACTCTTTGTCTGACTCCTCTGATGAGACCTGTCCAGTATGGTTGAACCTCTGGCATAGCTCTCATCTTCCTCAGAGTACACAAGCCCCACAACCACGTCAAGGTAGTGCCTCACTGGGGGATTATTATTATTATTATTATTATTATTATTATTATTATTATTATTATTATTACCATTCTTAAGGCTTTTCTCATGTGACAGAAACTCAAATAACTTTTGCTTTTCAGGCTACTTTTTATTGTTTCATCATCAAAGTTCAGTTCTATATATATTTATTCATAAAAACATGTTGTTGTTAATTGTGAAGTCGTGTCCAACCCATCGCGACCCCATGGACAATGTTCCTCCAGATCTTCCTGTCCTCTACCATCTTCTGGAGTCCATTTAAGTTCACACTTACTGCTTCAGTGACTCCATCCAGCCATCTCATTCTCTGTCGTCCCATTCTTCTATTGCCCTCAATCTTTCTCAGCATTAGGCCCTTTTCCAGTGAGTCCTTCCTTCTCATTAGGTGGCCAAAGTACTTGAGTTTCAACTTCAGGATCTGGCCTTCTAAAGAGCAGTCGGGGTTGATCTCTTCTAGGACTGACCGGTTTGAACGCCTTGCAGTCCAAGGGACTCGCAGGAGTCTTCTCCAGCACCATAGTTCAAAGGCCTCAATTCTTTTGCGCTCAGCCTTTCTTATGGTCCAACTTTCACAGCCATACATTGCAACTGGGAAAACCATGGCCTGGACTATACGCACTTTTGTTGGCAGGGTGATGTCTCTGCTTTTTAGAATGCTGTCTAGATTTGCCATAGCTTTCCTCCCCAGGAGCAAGCGTCTTTTAATTTCTTGGCTGCAGTCCCCATCTGAGGTGATCTTGGAGCCCAGAAAAATAAAATCTGTCACTACCTCCATTTCTTCCCCATCTATTTGCCAGGAATTGAGAGGGCCGGATGCCATGATTTTGGTTTTCTTAATGTTGAGTTTCAAGCCAACTTTTGCACTCTCCTTCTTCACCCGCATCAAGAGGCTCTTTAGTTCCTCTTCACTTTCTGCCATTAGAGTGGTATCATCTGCATATCTTAGGTTGTTGATATTTCTCCCGGCAATCTTAATTCCAACTTTTGATTCATCTAGCCCTGCCTTTCTCATGATGTGCTCTGCATATAAGTTAAATAGGCAGGGCGACAGTATACAGCCTTGCCGGACTCCTTTTCCAATTTTGAACCAATCAGTGGTTCCGTGTTCGGTTCTCACTGTTGCTTCTTGACCCGCATATAGGTTTCTCAAGAGACAAATGAGATGGTCTGGTACTCCCATCTCTTTAAGAACTTGCCACAATTTGTTGTGATCCACACAATCAAAGGCTTTTGCATAGTCAATGAAGCAGAAGTAGATGTTTTTCTGGAACTCCCTAGCTTTCTCCATGATCCAGCGTATGTTGGCAATTTGATCTCTAGTTCCTCTGCCTCTTCGAAATCCTGCCTGTACTTCTGGTAGTTCTCGATCCACATACTGCTGGAGTCTAGCTTGTAGGATTTTAAGCATAACTTTACTAGCATGTGAAATGAGTGCAATGGTGCGATAGTTTGAACATTCTTTGGCATTGCCTTTCTTTGGAATTGGAATGTAAACTGACCTTTTCCAATCCTGTGGTCACTGTTGAGTTTTCCAAATTTGCTGGCAAACTGAGTGTAGCACTTTTACTGCATCGTCTTTTAAGATTTTGAATAGCTCAGCTGGAATACTGTCACCTCCATTAGCTTTGTTGTTGCTCACATTTTCTAAGGCCCATTTCACTTCACATTCTAGGATGTCTGATTCGAGGTCAATGACTATCTCACTGTGGTTATCTGGGATGTTAAGCTCATTCTTGTATAGTTCTTCTGTGTAGTTTTGCCATCTCTTCTTAATCTCTTCTGCCTCTGTTAGGTCTCTGCCATTTTGGTCCTTTATCATGCCCATCTTTGCATGAAACGTTCCCTTCATATCTCCAATTTTCTTGAAGAGATCTCTGGTCCTCCCTATTCTGTTGTTTTCTTCTATTTCTTTGCACTGTTCATTTAAGAAGGCATTCTTATCTCTTCTAGCTATTCTCTGGAATTCTGCATTCAATTGGGTGTATCTTTCTCTTTCTCCTTTGCCTTTCGCTTCCCTTCTTTCCTCAGCTATTTGCAAAGCTTCCTCAGACAGCCATTTTGCTTTCTTGCATTTCTTTTTCTTTGGGATGGTTTTAGTTGCTACCTCTTGTACAATGTTGTGAACTTCCATCCATAGTTCTTCAGGCACTCTGTCTATCAGATCCAGTTCCTTAAATCTATTTGTCACCTCTACTGTATATTCATCAGGAATATGATTTAGTTCATACCTGAGTGGCCTAGTGCTTTTCTCTACTTTTTTCAATTTAAGCCTAAATTTTGCAACGAGAAGCTCATGATCTGAGCCACAGTCAGCTCCTGGTCTTGTTTTTACTGACTGTATAGAGCTTCTCCATCTTTGGCTGCAGAGCACATAGTCAATCTGATTTCTATGTTGACCGTCTGGTGATGTCCATGTGTAGAGCCGTCTCTTGGGTTGTTGGAAAAGAGTGTTTGTTATGACCATCGTATTCTCTTGACAAAATTCTATTAGCCTGTGCCCTGCTTCATTTTGTACTCCAAGGCCAAACTTGCCTATTATTCCGGTTATCTTTTGGCTTCCTACCTTAGCATTCCAATCCCCCATGATGATAAGGACATCATTTTTTGGTGTTAATTCTATAAGGTGCTGTAGGGCTTCATAGAACCAGTTAATTTCATCCTCTTCAGCACCAGTGGTTGGGGCATAGATTTGGACTACTGTGGTATTGAATGGTTTGCCTTGGATTCGAATTGAGATCATTCTGTAATTTTGGGGATTGTATCCCAGTATTGCTTTTCCTATTCTTTTATTGATTATGAAGGCTACTCCATTTCTTCTGAGGGATTCTTGCCCACAGTAGTATACCTGATGGTCATCTGAGTTAAATTCACCCATTCCTGTCCATTTTAGTTCGCTGATTCCTAAGATGTCGATGTTCAGTCTTGTCATCTCTTTTTTGACTACATCTAGCTTGCCTTGATTCACAGATCTTACATTCCAGGTTCCTATGGAGAAAAAATCTTTACAGCATCGGACTTTCCTTTCACCACGAGATATATCCACAGCTGAGCGTCCTTTCGGCTTTGGCCCAGTCGCTTCATTCTTTCTGGCGATACTAGTACTAGCCCTCTGCTCTTCCCCAGTAGCATACTGGACACCTTCCAACCTGAGGGGCTCACCTTCCAGCGTCATATCTTTTTTCCTTTTAGTACTGTCCATGGGGTTTTCATGGCAAAGATACTGGAGTGGTTTGCCATTTCCTTCTCCAGTGGATCACATTTTGTCAGAACTCTCTGCTATAACCTGTCCATCTTGGGTGGCCCTGCACGGCATAGCTTATAGCTTCATTGAGTTATGCAAGCCCCTTCGCCACGACAAGGCAGTAATCCATAAAGGGGCATAAAAACATATGTAATTACTAATATGGAGGTGATGGCTGGAAAGAAAGGAGAAGCTTTCTATTCATAGCAGAACCCATTGTAATTTAATATTTTGTATTTTCTTTCCAAAACTAGGATTGCAAATGGAAAATGTATATGGAGATGGACGGGGACGAAATTGCAATAACTTATATAAAAGATGTGACATTTAACACTAATCTACCTGATGTCGAGATTTTAAAAATGACAAAGGTAAGTTTGTAGTTATGGTGATGTTTTCATGATTGTCTTTGGCAGGGCTTTTTTTCTCACAGAACGCCCAGAACTGAGTTCCGGCACCTTTTTGGGATGGAATCTTGTAGGATAGGCAAAGCAGGTTGTATGACGTGTGTGAGTTCCGGCACCTTTTTTTTTTTTTTTTAGAAAAAAAGCACTGGTCTTTGGGTCCACCAAAAGTATTAAAATATCAGAGCAGCAGACTCTCTTTATCCATAGCCCTTGTTTCCTCATTCAGCCCTATCATTGCATCTCCTGAGAGTCTTGAAACAAATTAGCCATTGTTTGAAATTTCTTCTGAGCTTCCAGGCCCATCGTCTCTGACCAGGCCCTGAGCTTGCTGACATACTCACTGAATTGGGGGGATAAAGTTGCTCTTTCTGCTTGTAGGTTGCCCTACCTCCAGGAGTATTTCCCCTGGACTATTACTGTGTTTCCCCGAAAGTAAAACCTACCCCAAAAATAAGCCGTAGCTTGATTTTTGAGGGTGGACCTAATATAAGCCCTACCCCAAAATAAGTTCTAGTTTTCGGGAGAGGCACACACCTAAAAATCAAGCTAGGGTGTGTGTGTGTGTGGCTCTGCCCCATGCGCCCTGCACCCATTTACCTTGCAGCCAGGTCTCTCCTCGCTGGCCCACTTCTTCTGCAGCGGTTTCTGCAGCCAGGCCTTTCCAGAAAGCCTCTGCAGCCAAGAACCGAGCTATGGATTCAATCCAAAGCTCGGTTCTATAAGGCCTTTGCAGCCGAGGACTGAGCTATGGATTCAATCCATAGCTCAGTACACAGTTGCAGAGGCCTTCCAGAAAGGCCTGACTGCAAAATGCAGGCCAGAATGAAGCTGCTCTTTCGGCCCCAGAAGAAGTGTACTGGCTGGGTGGGGCTGGCGATGCCAGAGTTGAGAATAAAAGACCCCCCCCATAAAACCTGGTGCCTCTTTTGGAGGCAAAAAACCCCCCCAAAATGACCTGGTCTTATTTTCGGGGAAACACAGTATCTGTTTAGACTTAGAAGAAATACAAAATCTAAACTATAAACACCAAACTAAGTTAAGAAACACAATTAAATGGAACACTGCTTAAATGGTTTAAAAAAAAAGAGCAGAAAAAGAAAAAAGGAGAAAAACCCAACCCCCAAAATAGAAATAAAAATTAAAAATTTACCTTATATATTAAGCTGATCAATTATCATTTCTTTAGTAATCAATAGTATAATGTAAACAAATGAAAATGTAGTGTAAAATATAAAATCTCTGCCAAAGTAATACATATTGCTTCATCCTTTGATGCCTTTTCCAAGATGGATAAATTATACATTTTCAAAAGCAATTCCTTAACATCTGGAATAACATCATTTCCCCAATTTCTCAGTATAATTTTGTTAGCTGTCTCCTTAGGCCTGATGCAGCCATATGTCCTAATAAACAGATTTTCAAGTTTTGGTATATAATTCAGTATCATATAAACATATTTAATATTTGCACATTTCCTCATCAATCTAGTTATATACATTAAAATCCCAGTCTAAAAAAGTATCAAATGACAACAGGATCATATCATATGGGTCAATGCATTCTCATTTTATTTTATTTTTTGTATTTCCAACAAAGAAAATCTGGAGCTCATCCTTTGAAGTACATTCTTCAGGGAGTTCAATACACTGAAAATACAATGTTTTATGAAGCAATTTTAATCTCAAATCTGAGACTGATCAGTTGACACATTTTAATGTACACCTATGTGATGTTTAGTGCCTTGTCCTTGGTCCTCAGTGACAAAAATCTTACTGCAAACCATTGAAAATGACTTGGAGGGCCACGAATCTGAGACCAGCGATAGATGTTCCTGTTGTGAATTAGATTAATTTGCACAGACTGGATGTCACTCTACTGTGTGATCCCAACAGTTGCTAACACTCTCCTTGTTTAGCAACCGCATTCTGTTCCAATAACTTGGTCATTAAATGAAATGGTCAATAAATGAATACGTGTGTGTGTGTGTGTGTGTGAGAGAGAGAGAGAGAGAGAGAGAGAGAGAGAGAGGCTGTGAAAATCACTGGTTGATGCTATCTTATAAAGTTCTCTTGCACAGTGTCTGGCATCCAGCCAATTTTTTCCCCTTTTGTTGCCCCCTCACAGAGCTGAGAGATTGCTCGAACAAGCTATCTCTTCCCGAGTTGCTTTTCTCTGCAGCGCTGTATATCCCTAAAAAGTGGTAACTACAAGCTCAGCTCTGTGACCTTAATTAGTGCATTAGAACCCTCTGGCCAGCTGGTGCTGCTGCCTGACTAGACCTTAATCAGTTTCACACTGAGAACTTTTGTTGTCAGGTGCATGAAATTTGGTCATAAATGCACTCACTGGTCAGAAAAAGAAATATCATTTATTACTGTCATATTTGGGAATGGTGACTAATCAAGGTAGTCTCTAAAAGAAAAGTAGCTGAATTTTGTCACTGCAGGGATGTTCTAGAAGCTGGTGACCACAGAGGTACATGTCTGCCAAGCCTGTGGAGTAGGAGGGTGGAATTTGGCTATGTATTCCCTGGTGATGGTTGACGGGATTGAAGAAATTAATTCTCCATTTGTGGCCTGATGGGACAATTTATTTATTTTTAAAAATTAAAATCATTCAGCTTTAATAAAGACAGCCACAGCCATAATTTTGACATGAATAACATTATAAAAAGTTTGAAGCTTTTTAAAAATAAAGTTAGATAATGTTAATGCTAAATGTCCCTTTAAATAATCACAAATAATCACAAGCTTTTACTACCTTGTGACTCAGATTAAAATTCTAGTTACTGAAGGAAACTGTGGCTTCAGAAACATTCCGCCAGCTGTAAATAATAACAAGGGAAAATATCTTATTAAAAAATTGCCCCAGAAAAAAAGGGTACAAATTACAAGGGACAAACACATACACAGTAACCAATTTGATGAAGCTAGCTAAGAAGGTGTTTCACATTCTATTCCAATATTTTGTGTTTAAGAGGTAAGAAGAATGTGGTATGGTTGCAGCTGGAGTAGTATTTAATTATTTAGTTATTCAGTTATTTGCCTAAAGCTAAGACCTAAGCCTAAGGCTTTCTTCAGAATTGCAGAAGAAATTTGTATACAGGATACGTGGAGAGAAATCCCAATACACATTTTATTCAAACAGCCACAAATCATGATCTAGAATTGATATGATATGGATATCCCTGAATTAAGAAGGGATATACAAGAAATCGAGATAGAAACTAATGTATGGGCGGACCATAATCCGATAAAGATGACCTGGAGATGAACAAAGAAAAAAGCATGATGGACCGTAAACCAATTCTTATTGAAAGAGAAAGAATTTATACAAAAAGCTGTAAAGGAATTGGAATTTTTCTTCAAAGAAAATAAGAAAGAAGATACATCACTCCAAAATGTCTGGGATACAGGTAAAGCATATTTTAGAGGAGTAGCCATAACCTATATGGCAAAAAAGATGAAAGACAAACAACAAATTAAACATAAAGAAGAACTTACAAAAACTAGAATTAGAACTACAAAGAGACCCACAAAAAAAACTCTTAAAAAACAAATGGAGATAATAAAACACAAATTAAATCTAATAGAAGCTGAAGAAATGGCTTAACAAATTAAAACAGCGAAACAACACTTTTTTGAAAATGCCAATAAGCAGGGAGATGGTTGGCTTATAAACTGAAAAAAGAAAGAGAGAAGAAATCAATAAACAAACTACAAGATGTGAGAGGTGATATCAAAATGATGCAATAAAAATAATTAAAGAATTTTATGAAACACTTCATAATACAGAAGAAATTCCTCAGGGAAAAATAAGGCAATATTTAGAAAATGCTAAGTTACCAAAAATCTCAGAGAATTTCAAAAATATGCTAAATGGGAAAATAACAGTGATGGAGTTGACAGAAGCTATAAAAAGATAAAACAATGATAAGACACCAGGCCCAGATGGGCTACCAGCAGAATTTTACAAATGTTTACAAAGATATATTAATTTTACCAATGCAAGAAGTGTGCAATGAGGTATTACTAAAAGCCAAATTACCAAATACATGGATAGTTGCCAATATTATGGTAATATCCAAAGAAGATACAGACTTGACCCTGATAAAGAACTACAGACCCAGCCAGTTTGCACCACTTCAGCAGAACCGGTAGCTAATTTTTTTGTTGCCCAGGCCCAGAATGGACTTCTGGAAGCAGCATCCACACAGACAACTGATTGTTCACATATTTGAATTCCACCACTGTACAGACCACTATCTCTACTAAATGTAGATTATAAAATCTTTGCTTCAATAATAGAAAGACTAAAGAGATTTTTGATTGAATTTATACATTCAGATCAAAATGGACTTTTACCAAAGAGACAAATAAAGAACAATTTAAGAAATGCACCCAGGGAAACAAATGGCTTTGATATTTTTAGATGCACAGAAAGCCTTTGATAATGTCAATTGGCAATTTATGGTTCAACAACTAAACCATATGGACTTTAGAGAAAAATTTATGAATATAATTCAAACAAATTATCAAAAATTTTATGAATATAATTCAAACAAATTATAGACAAACAGCTAAAATAATTGTGAATGGAGATTGCATGGAGAGTTTCAATATCAAAAAAGGCACAAGACAAGGATGTCCATTATTCCCACTATTATTTATCTTAATTTTGAAAGTGTTGAACAGGAATGTTAGACAGGATCCAGAAATCAAAATAATAGAGATAAAAGATGAAAAGCAAGCATTCGCAGATGATCTGGTATTTATATTGGAGGATCCGTTAGAGCAAGGGTGTCAAACTGCTGGCCCATGGGCCGGATGCATCATAGTGAAACCACGCCCACCCCATTGCTGGCAATGACAAAAAAGTCACAATAGGTCGCGACATATCATATGACATTTCGAGTTTGACATCCTTGCGTTAGAGACAAGTCCTAAATTATTAACAAAGATTGAAGAATTTGGAGAAGTAGCAGGACTGAAAATTAATAGAGAAAAGAGTAAAGGTATAGCTAAAAACCTCAGAGATAAACAAAAAAACCAACTATCAGTAAAAACAGACCTTCAAGTAGTTAAGAAAGTTAAATACCTGGGGATATATTTAACAGCAATATGTGCAACATAAAAGAAAATAATTATGTAAAAGTATTAAAACAAATAAAACTAGACTTGGAAAAATGGAAAAATCTATAACTATGAATCCTGGGAAGAATAGCGACGGTGAAAATGAACATTTTACCAAAACTACTCTTTTTATTTCAAACAATACCGATAAAAATTGACAAAAAAAATTTCGATGAATTAAATATATCAATATTGAAATTTATCTGGCAGGGGAAAAAAGTTAGAATCAGACTGAAAATGTTACAAGAAGCAAAAGAAAAAGGAGGCTTTGGCCTAACAGACTGGGTCTTGTACTATCAAGCAGCCGCACCTATTGCAGAAAATCACAGGACTCAGACCACGGAATCAAAAGAAGTTGGTTTATTTTGCGCAAAGGTTCAGAGCACTATATTTGTAGCCACATCTGAACAGCTTCATACAAAAAAACACAAGTTTATATATTCTCGTCAGAAACAGCAAAACACGAAAATGTAACTGATAGCATGGATTTTGCTTCAAATCACAGCCCCCTTACAGCATACAGCCCCCCTTTTCTGTAGCTAACATATCTTGCCTAAACTGTGAATTTTCCTACCTACAGTGTCTAAACTTCCTGTAACATACTTGTGGTTAGCTGCAAATGAGACATAAAGACATATGTGGTTAGCTATAGCAGAGCTTCAAACTTAACACTTTTGTGCAACCGACAAATGAACTTGTGGTTTGACATCTTTCATTTCCTTTTGTTCTCCTTCTAACTAATACACGCATTTAAGACTCATGTCCTGTTTTATGACTTAAGTCCTGCTTTTATGTCCTGCAATACATGCATTTAAGTCTCCTGTTCCGCTTTATGACTTATCATGTCTTGTTTCATGACGTATGTCCTGCCTGACACTAACATGGTTAAAAGAATGGATAACGCTTAGAAATAAAAGACTGTTATACCTAGAAGCACATGACCTACAACTTGAATGGCATGCTTTCCTATAGTATGGGAAGAACAAAATTCATACTTTCAAAACCACTGTGTAAGAAATGCACTGCTTTTGACATGGGAGAAGGTAAAATCAAGAAATTACATGAAAATACCAGGATGGATTTCGACAATGGAGGCGTCTGTACACCCAAACTTAATCAACTGTGAGAAACTTGTGACTTATAAAGATATTTTGAATACTGATGGGAACTACAAACCAAACAAGAACTGGAAGAACAGGGCATTGAGCTATCATGGTGGCCACTCCTGCAAATGCAAATGAGATATGAGAAAGATGCAAAAATATATGACTTTTACAAAGACCAGACAACGTTAGACAAGATACTATTGTCATCAGATGACAAATTGATTAAGAAACTGTACAGCTTTCTGTTAAATTTAAAGATGGAAGATGAAAAAATTAAAGAAACAATGATAATTTGGGCAAAAAACTTTGGGTACAATGTAGAGCTAGAAAAATGACAGAACTGATGGGAAAGAAACTACAAAATAATGAAGACAGCTACTTATAAAGACAATTTATATAAAATGTTCTATAGATGGCACTTACCACCTGCAAGATTAGCAAAAATGTTTAAAAATGTGTCTAGCAATTGTTGGAAACGCAGACAAAATCCAGGCATGTATTATCATCTTTGGTGGAGATGCCCTAAAGCACGGGTGTCTAACTTGTCATGTCACGTGACGTGTATCATGACTTTTGTTGCATTGTTGGAGCTGTGGTGGGCATAATTTAGGCATAATTTCAGAAAATTATGATAAGAAATGTGTATACTTAATATTACATATATTAACAGCAGCGAGAATTATATTTGCTCAATACTGGAAAAATGAAGAAATACCATCTGAAGAAGACATAATTAAGAAAATTTTGGACTATGCAGAAATGGATAGGCTCACACTGAAAATGAAGGGGAAGCAAGATTCAGAATACTTTCAGACATGGGATTTTTTTTACAAATGGTTAGAAAAACGGAATAAAGGATAGGAATGGAAATTGTACTACTATTAATGTTAAACCCAGAAACCCAGACAATGTACTGCTTGTTAAATAATAAATATTGTTATCGTAAAAAAATAATAAAATATACATAAAAAGAAACATTCCACCAGTTATTACCTGTAAATAATAACAAGGAAAATATCTTATTAAAAAACTGCCCCAGAAAAAAAAGTGTACAAATTACAAGGGACAAACACATGCACACATACATTAACCAATTTGGTGAAGCTAGCTAAGAAGGTATTTCACATTCTACTCCAATATTTTGTGTTTAAGAGATAAGAAGAATGTGGTATGGTTGTAGCTGTATTAATATTTAGTTATTCAATTAATTATGATACTTTTTCCCAATAAACCCCAGCTGGGATCTAGAGATGAGATAAACTGTATTCATGCACTGGGTTTTTTCTGATTCTTCATTCACAACCCCTCTACAGCTACCTGTGTCTCCCCTAAAAGCTGCATCTGAAAATCCAAAGATTCCCCGTGAATGGCACGGGCTGCCTTACATGCAAGTCATACCTGACTCAAGCTTTTGTATTATCTGGAAACATCTGAAAGTGTCATGACTTTTATGACACCAGATATATATGGATTCAAAACCTGTCACAATCTTCCTGTCAGATCTGGCCTTCAAAGGAGATCATGGGATCTGTCAGTCAGCGATATTAAAGCCAAAGGAAAAGTCTTATGGAAGAACAACCTCAGCTTAAGGCACAGTAACAGCTCCACAGCTAACCAGCAGAACCGTTTCATGGCAAATAATTTTGGAGGAGCTAGTTAATTCTGTTGGTGCAATTTAAACATCATTACATAAATGCTGTTATAAATGCATTGCTGTTATCTTAACTTAGACTATCTGCAGAATTGAGCAAAGGAGTGATTGAACAGAAAATGAGCCCTAAATTTAAGAAACCTTTTTTTTTTTTTTTGCTTCGAGACAAGGATGTATGTGCACATTCATGTAAATTCAGGAGTGTGAATGTGTGTGTGAGAGAGTGACTATGTATTTGTCACAACTGTCTCCAGGATTAGGGGTGAGCAACTAGCCATTAATTCAAAATTGTCTTTAGAGCTTGCTGTCTCCCAGTCATGCGGAGAAAAGAGATGGTGGGAAAAAAAGATCTTCTTATTGACTTTAAGTTCTGACCCCATAGATTGCTTGCTTCAGGTCTGGGCATCATTTGACTTCAACAGGGTACTTTTATGGCTATCCATTCCTCTAGAGTTAAAAGGCTCCCCATCCCAGCTCTGTCTGATCCTGCTCAGAGGTTTTTTTCTGGCTCATGCAGTGATGCTGAGCAAGCAGGAGTCTGAGAGAAAGATCTATGATCTAAAGCCAAAGCAGGAGCAACAGCCTAATTAATAGGATGGGACATAGCTCAAAAATGAATTGCAAGAGGTGTTTCAGAGCATACAGGGATATCAGTACAGCATCTCTTTAAAGCAGCTACATCTTTCTTTGGATTTCTGTAGGATGTGGCTAGAGTTGATTTCTCTTTCTTTTAAAAACGTGGCCGTTTTAAAGAGGTGATATGCTTGTCCTCTGGCATGTTTGGAACCATCTGTCCCAAATCATTTTTGAAGCATTCAAAGCTCTACTAATTAATAGAAATTGCCTTCTGAATATTCATAACCTTTCAGAATGAGAAATCGGAAGGGGATTCTCCTTGGCCAAATTTAGATTCAAACATTTCTTTTATATACTGAAATTATAGCCCAACAGCAATGGTAGATTAGATCAGAGTTCCCCAACCTTTCCAACTTGGCGGCCCAGAATAAAAGGGAACAGCAGGGAAATGTGAGCATGCACAGCCCCACGCACGGATGCACAAACAGGCACGCACACGACGGCAGTGCTAGCGTGCCTACGCATCCCCAAGTGGGCTATGCACCCCTGTGGCAAGCGTGCTGGTGCCCGCACTCATGGGCAAATGGGCAGCACACACCCTTGTGATCCTGATGGCAGTGTATGCACAAATGGGGCCACTAGCGCCCACACGATGGTGTTATCACAGGTGGGGCGGGGTTTACCAGCTATTCCCAGGGCCTGATTGATTAGATCACAACCTTTGTGGACATTTTCCACTTTTTAAATGTATATATTTTTAACAGAGGTCAGACATGTAAAAGTCTTCAGGTAAATAAAACAACAGCTCCTCCGAAGTAAGAGGAGCAAGGCAAAGGATACCTGTAAATGTATTTTTTTTCTTGCAGCCTCCATTTGTGATGGAGAAGTGGATTGTGGGGATAGGAAAAGATCAGACTGTCGAGTGCACAGTGACTTACGAGGTTAGTGTTTGAAGAAAAATAAAAGCGAGTCATTCTGCCAGCATTATTGCACAACGAGAAACCTGCATTTCTAAATTTTAGGGCTCACTTTTGTAAAGGTCTGTAATTAGCTTTAAATGACCAATCTCCTATAAATTTGAATGCTATAAACCACACTCAGGCTGCTCGCTTGGAAAACTTGATCACGTAAATTTTAAAAAGTTCCTTCTCTCTCTTTTTCCTCTGAGTATCAGTTGGGGTAGGTAACACTTGCTGATGGGATCATCTTTCTCATCTTTCTGACACATTGCTAATTAGCAGGCTAGAGATACAACAGGTGAAAGGAAGGGGCAAGAAGGAAAATATAAAATAAAAAATGGAACCAATTTAGCAACATATAATAGGACGGGAACTAGTCTTTGTACGAGTAGGGTTTTGGATATTTACACAAAAAAATGTGTTTCATAACGACCAATGGGATACTTCACACTGAGGCTAATAATTGAAATCTCAGCTCTGTCTGTCACAAGGATTCAAGTGGTGAGAGCGGCTGACAGTGAAATTCTGGCCTTGTGTGCCTCAGAAGTGGAGAAGATCTGCTTTTGGGGAACTAGAAAATCAACCCCCGGGCTCCTTTCAGACTGCTGCTCCTTACAAGAATTAGAAACTGGCAGCAAGTTTAAAGGACCTTGCCACAAGCAGACCCCAGCAACCAGAAATCCTTAGTGACTGCTTCCTCTTGCAGAAAAGACTATTGACTTGAGTCACCATAACTACAAAATGGTTCTATTAAAACTCAATAGTTAAAAGAGTGTCCATCACTGCTGAGGTGGGAAGGCACAAAGAAAAAAACTTTAATTTGCTATTGGATTCCTTGCATAAAGAAACAATTTTTTTCTAGATGGGGGGGGTGATATTACAGGTAGTCCTCAACTTACAACAGTTCGTTGAGTGACCATTCAAAAATACAACGGCACTGAAAAAAGTGACTTATGGCCATTTTTCACACTTACGACCTTTGTGGCATCGTCATGATCCTGTGATCAAAATTCAGATGCTTGGCAACTGGTTCATACTTATGACCGTTGCTGTGTCCCAAGATCATGTGATCACCATTTGCGAACTTTTGGCAAACAAAGTCAATGGGGAAGCCACTTAACAACCGTCTTAGTAACTTATCAACTGCAGTGATTCACTTAATAACCGTGGCAAGAAAAGTCGTAAAATGGGCCAAAACTCACTTAACAAATGTCTCACTTAACAACAGAAATTTTGGGCTCAATTGTAATTGTAAGTCGAGGACTATCTGTACTACCTGTTTCAGAATCAAACATTAAAACTCGGGACAAATTGGGCTTGTTCTTGTGGGGTTTTGAAGACCTTGTTCTTCTCTCTTGGATAGGCTGATGTCCATACTCCCAAATCTACCAAACACATCCAGGAAGTGCAATGGAGTCAGGTGAAACAGCAGGATGAAGTGAAATCAGTACAGCTGAAAATACAGACATCTCTCCCAAATGTGGAAGGCAACCCTCGGAGCAGATCCAATTCCAGTAAGTCAACTGAGGCAAGGTTTAAGAAAGAGCATATGCCAGAGAAACAAAAATCGTCATGTTCCACAAAGCCAGACTTGCAAAGAGGGAAAATGTCTCAGCATTTCTTAACCTCAGCAATTTTAAGATGCTGGCTGGGGAATTCTGGGAGTTGAAGTTCACATTTCTTGAAGTTGCTGAGATTGAGAAAACAATGATCTCTAAAGTAACTCAATGGCCTCTAGGTGGGGACTGGGAGGTTTAAGGAAAGCCTAGGTCACTCTAATATTGATGACTGCTTTAAATCAGAAAAGCTACATTTCTGAACGTAAAAGGTTGGCCTGAAATCTCCATCCATTTTGTACCCTCAAACTGTGGAAGCAAAATTTGGGGTCTCTTTGTTTCATCGTTAGGAGATGGGAATTTTTTAAAGGAACCATTAGGGTGTAGATCAGGGGCAGTGGTGGGATTCAGCCAGTTCCCACCACTTCAGCAGAACCGGTAGCTAATTTTTTGTTACCCAGGTCCAGAATGGACTTCCGGAAGTGGCATCCACACAGAGAACGGGTTGTTCACATATTTGAATCCCACCACTGATCAGGCATACTGGCTGAGGAATTCTGGGAGTTGAAGTCCACAAGTCATAAAAGGGCCAAGTTTGAAGACCCCTGGTGTAGATAATTAAGAAACCCATTTTACCTCTTAAAATTCCTGAGAACTCCTCCCCCACCCATGGGCCAGGCCAAGCCAACTTTTGAACTGAGCATCTTGTCATGCTGCACATAGCCTGGAACAGGACTTGAACAAAACAGAATTTACACATTGCTCTTCTAGAATCTCTGGCTGAGGATACTGTTGTGCATCCACACTTAACATCTAAAAACCCCTCTCTCTTTTGTCTTTAACCATCCATGGTTTAGTCATGATCTTAAATTGGATTATAGTATATTTTTATTTCCTGAATTTGCATTCTGTATTGCATAATCAATACAACTAATATATTTGTAGCAACCAAACGATCGGAGTCTAATGCAGTGCTTTTTAAACCTTTTTTATGTTAAGTCCCACCTATCACTCATTCAAAGAGTCTGACATTCATCAGGAGAGAAACAAAAACCCTGCTTTTGCAGGGGACATTTCATGTTTATTAAGTTTATATGTCACTTTTATTTTTTACAATTGAAAGAGACATGCCTAATATTCCTTCCTCATCCTATTTTCCCCACAACAGCAACCCTGTGAGAAGGGTTGAGAGGGAGGGACTGGCCCCAACTCACCCAGACAGCTCTCATGCCTAACAGAGGCCCAGAAGTCATAGTCTTCTTGTGTATAACACCTTAATATTTCTGGCTGTCATTTATACAGAAAGAGACATTCAGTTAATTAGGTCTTATTATTTCCAGTAAGTTTCAAAGATGCAATTAAAGTTGTAATGACTTGTGTCCCACTTGGAGTACTTCTGAATTGCACCTGTATCATCAGTTTTGAACCAAAGGATACTGATGAAAGATGTCAGTGCTCTAAAGATCTGTGATGTGCTGTTTGGCGGGGAGGGGGGAATGCTAGGGAGTATGTGTAGTTAACAGAAAATCTGTCTAATCAGTGAGGTGGTTAAAGTTACATTGCAAATCTCTGCAATTAAAATCATCATAACAGTATCTGAAGAACAGAGTTCAACTGTAGAAACATTACACCTGAAGATACACTTTCAGATAGGGAGTTCATATACTTTTGCGGGGGTGTGGGGGGGTGGGGGTGTGTGTGCTTTGCAGTCAGTCTTGAATTTCAGCAATTTGCCTGGACAAGCCCCTGCAAATATACTTGGCAAGATTTTTGGAAGTGGTTTGCTTCTGCCTTTTTCTTAGGTCAGGGGGAGAGTGACTGGTTCAAAGGCATCCAGACAGCTTCATGCCTAAAGTGAGATTGGAACTCACCACCTCCCAATTTCTAGCTCTGGTGCCTTTAAATACTACACTTCATTGGAGACTGCAAGGAAGCGTCAACCCATTATGGCCCCCTGAGCAAAGGAGTGACTCCAGTAGCTACCCGCAGCAGAGTAATATCAGAATTTTATCAGATCTCTTGTGACTACTTGGGATTAAAGCTGATAATGCCTTTTTGTTTCATTCCAGGTATTGACTGCCAGTGGATGAATGCACTGAAAATGCACTGTGTGACAAGCAGTCCTTCTCTCCAACATTCCCGTCCCCACAGTCCCAACAACTTAACCCATTTTTTACCCTACCTTCACAATCAAGACACTTACGCTGCTGCTGTGAGGCGGACTTCAGTGCCTACTACCTTTCATATTACTCCACTCATTCAGTCAAGAAGCTCATCGCCAACAACCTATTTATCATCTTTACATCTGAATTCCAAGGAAAGCAGCAGCTCCAGTGCGACTTCAACTTCGGATAGTCCATCTGAAAAGGGCAGCTCCAAAAGCAGAAACAGAAATAACTATCATAGCAGCGTCTCTCCTGGAGGAGAGGCAGCTGGAAAGCGTTTTGTAAGAAACCCAACTGCTCCAGGGACACTGAGAAATGCTGGGAAATATCCTAGATCTTCCCAGTCAACCTTCAATCAATATCAACATCTGCCAAGGACGCATGAGAGAAAACACACTCATTGCCCGCAGCAATTCAAATCAATACCAGGGATGCCCTTGAAAACTGAAGCAGAAGAAGAAGAGGAAGAAAGCAAAGTCAGTGAAGGTGGATGGGTGAAAGTCAATTATTCAAAGAAATCTTACCGACATACTGTTGGCAAACAAAACAAAGAGAAATCAAAAGGCACTGGAACACTTCAGAGAAAATCCCGTTGATGCTTTTTCAGAAATAGGTTTTATTTTATTTTTTATTGCACAGAATACTGACTTTCCACAGAGAAGATTTCAAATTCTTCTTGAAATAACGGACAACGAATGTGAGAATGGGGAGCCTGGGAGGAATGACATTAGTGCAGCCTTGGGTTCTGTTGGAGGCTGTTTTAGCACATTGTAAGCCTGATATAGTCTTCTCCCTCAATCAAAGCACAAGATGGCAATTGTTCCTTTCCTGTGAAACAACACTAAAGCATCTGACAGCAGCTGAGTAGTGTTCTTGGGGCTGAATCACGTTAAGTTAGGGGCCAAGGGGAATACAGAGGCACTACAGGCCCGGTCCACAAAACTGGTGTCTGAGACTCCACCAAAATAGTAGAACTGAGTGGGCATAAAAGGTTCTGTTTTTTTAGTTTGTCTACTTTTAATCAGGTACTTTTTACTTAAGTCTAGTATTTCCATTAGCATGATATTCTGCTTCGCTGTGCTTTGTTATTTCTGATACTCTGATCCAGTATTGATACAGTGACAGAAAAAGTGCTGCTTAAACCTATGAATGAAAAAAATGACTGCAAAAGTTATCCTTTCCATATTTTTTTGCTTTCGGGGTTGTCTAATGAATTATTTTTTTCTTGATTTTGTAGCAACACCTTCAAGCTACTACATCAATCCTCCATTTAGCGATAAGCTCCATCTACTTCCATTGGAATTATTCTTATGGGTAGGGGAAAATGTAACAGCTTCTACAAAGAAGCAAAATAGTATAAGAAAAAAGACCTAATTATTTTTGGTACAACTATTTATTAACGTAAGGTTAAAAATCTTATTCATGATATTTAATTATACTCTGCGTGTTGTCTTTAAGTAATAAAAAGAAACATTATACTTAATAGTATACAGTATTTTGCAATTCCGTTGAAATTGAATATTACTTTGTTTTCCTGGACATATCTACAAGAAAGCAAATTCCTGTGGGATTTTCTTTGAAATAAAGAATTGGGTGATATAAAATAACTCATTTCTCCAACTGCAATTTTCAGGGGAAAAAATGACATTATATTAGATTCTATTTATAAATAAAACCCAACTCCTAACTTAACATATCCTTCCCCTTTTGAATTATGAGGAAAGGAAAAGGTTTTTAAAAGTATTGTTTAAAGTAATTTGATTCTCAGCTGAGGAAATAAGGAATAAATGTATCTTATTTAGCATATCTTTTCCAATTCTTCATGTAGTAGCAGATTTTTAACAATAGCAAAGTAAACCATTTCAGACAGCTGTAAAACTAGAGTTCTTTTCTTATTCAAGGAGCTATTTCATTGATTGGCTGAGGTCTCTCCTATTTCTAGGATGAAGAGAGGTTTCCTAGGCAGGTGCTCTCTGTTTGTTCAGCAAATTATTGGAGGAGAGATTTATGGATATATTTATTTACTAGATGTACATGGCCATTCCCTCTCACATATAAGCAGCGTCAGGCAGCTAACATAATAAAAATATCAATACAATAAGGATAAATAAATTATACAAAGCAAAAGAAAAATGTCCATCAAACGCAAACCAGTCAATAACAAAGAGATTCAACTGACAAGCTGAACCCCCTCCAACCCCCACACTTGAGAAAAAAATCTTAAGGGTCTTATGAAAGGCTAGCGGAGTTGGGGACAATCTAATCAACACTGTATAAAAGGTCTCCTGGCTATGGCTGGAGGAGCTGCAAGATCAGGAGGATCTCAAAACAGTGCACTGATTTTGACAGAGTAGTGCAACTCCATCCAGAACTAAAGATGGAAAATCACCAGATCCAGCAGGCCTTAAAAGCCTAGATAGAGTTGAAGCCTGTTCTTCCCCATCCAATTGTCCAAAGCCTCCAGCTAGAAAGACAGAACCTTCGCAGCATTACTTGGGTGATCCAAAATAAAGATATACAACTGAGTATCACCAGCCTACTGATGTTACTTCACCCCATATCTCTGAATGACCTCATCCAGAAACTTCATGTAGATCAGGGGTGTCAAACTTGCAACGTCACGTGACGTATTGCTACGTATTGCAACTTTTTTTCCATTGCCAGCAATGGGGTGGGTGCGGTTTTGGCATGACGCATCAAGCCTGGGGGGGGGGGATGGCAGTTTAACACCCCTGATGTAGATGTTAAAGAGGTGCGGGGAGAATCAAGCCCTGAAGAACCCTTCAAAAAGAGGACATGGACTTGACCTCTCCCCAACCCATTAATACTGACTGGAATTAATTCCAGAGGAAGGGAATAGAACCTGCAAGGCCATGTCCCCTGAAGGATATCATGACTAATAGTACTGAAAGCTGCAGAGAGAACAAGGAGAGTCAGAATGGATACACTAATCCCACTTATTATTTATCACATTTCTACACTGCCCATCTCACCTAAGTGACTCTTAGCCCTTGCAAATTCTATTTGTTGTCTTTGAATTCATGAAGCTTCGAATTCATGAAAAAACAGGTTTGGGATTGAAAGAAAAGAGAGGGAGAGAAATTATAAATAATTGAAATATAGCTGAGTATTTGAGAGATGTTGTGTTTATATGTTGGGGAAGCTACCTTCAGAATTTATAAACTCACTAAGGTTGATTATCAAGATGTCCAAACCAATTCCAGGCCTCCAGGTCACAAAGAACACATTTCACTCCCTGTGGGTTAAGCTCAAATTCCTGTTCTCATTAAAACACTTCAGCTTTACTACACTCACTACCTCAAGTCCAGCAATATGGTGGTGCTTGGCTCAAGCAGTTGGTCAACGACAAAGAGAGAGATTCCCTCTCAAAGCTCTAGATGTATTTGTGTGAAGAAATGAGAATAAGGTCTCATTTGCAGCATTTGCAGCCTTCTCCTCACCTATGCAACATCTAGGATGCAATCAATGCTAAAAGAAGGACGAACAGTGAAATTAATGTATGCTGCGGTGGGTTAAGTGGGCGGATGTTTGCAGCATCTTAATTAGTGAACAGGCATGCGTTACTCGGTTGCTTTCACTCAGGAATCTAAATATGGATAAAAGGGGCAAAAAGAACATGTCTAGCTTAGCACAAATGTGAAGTCCTTCCACCACTCTATTGCCAAAATGATCAGCACTGCCTCTGGCTGGCAGTTACCTTAAGCCCTGCAACATTCTGTAACCAAAGATCAAACAATTTTAAATTTCATACCAAACATAAATGGTTGTAGTTTCATTTAATCTACAGCAAAAAGATTAGAATTCCTGATATCTGTAAACCACCTTCTTTGCTGCCTTAGTGTGATATGTGTGCCTTTGAATTTTAAGAAAACCTCCCTATTTCATTATTTTGTTCTTTTCTTTTACTGTTATAGCTTAAAATAGCAGCCTCTCACTGCCTGGGAATTGATGCCTTGTACCGCTAGCTCTGTCATGCTAATTTATATGCAGACTATTATGTCAATAAATCCACCTTCTTCTTCCCTGCAAGAGAGTAGTTGCATTAATTTCCATTCCCAGAAACTTCCTCCAATATACCTGACCATATTTGGTGATCAGGAGTGTGATCAAGTAGCCTGCTTGGACAAGAGATCAAAACCTCCATCCAATGACCATTATCTGGCAACTTGCTGAGCTGATTTAATGAGGTGAAGTTGCTCAGAAAGACTTTGTTCTTCCATTTCCTCCTGTGAGAAATCACTCAAAACAATGACCTCTGCAGGTTGCTCTTCATAGAACAATTGTCCTTTCTGACTCTACAGAAGCTGCAGAGAATGAAATTGCATCTCTATGTGTTCTAGGAATACTGAATTTAGACTTAAGAAGATAGAGGACTTTATTTATTTAAAAAAAAACTATGCAATATGGCCTTCGAAGTAATTATTTTTAGATAAGTAAAGGTGTATTTAGTTTTATAATTATGAGGATCTTTTTTGAAATCTGACTTAATTTTTTTATGCAAGTATATTGTCTTCTTTTCCCTTTCTGGATGATCTATACCAGGGGTGTCAAACTGCCGACCTGCGGGCCGGTTGCATCATACGGAGGCCACGCCCACCCCAAATCCGGCAATGCACATGACACATCACGTGACACAGGTTTGACACCCGTGATCTATACAAAATCCAAGAAACAAATAATTCAAATCAATTTGTTACGAGACACTGCCGTGATGTTAGGGAAATAAAATACACTTATGCGGCAGGCCTTGGAGTTAGAAAAACTCTCACACACTTGGAGAGTTAATATGAGGGAGAAACTACTTGGTTACTTAAGACTTAATTCTTTCTGCAGATAACTAGCTACTGAAAACTCTAAAGATGACATGACCCTATAGTTTAGTAGCCAGGCACTTCTTCCAACAGCTACAACCATAGTTGTAATTTGCAGTGATGCACTTTTATGCCTGAGAGGGAGAAAAAGAGTAATGATGTTGGGGATTCAGTCTGAAGAAAGAGCACAACACCGAGGAGAAGAATCATATCTCTTGCAATGATCCTTGGGTGCCCACTTTATGAAATTGATGGGGGATTTAGTCCAGGACAAGGAAAGTTAATTTGGTTCTGATAGGATTCGACAAAGAGAAAAACTGGGTTTGACCCTGGTCATTTCCGAAAGATGGGAGGAGGATAGAAAACGGTACAATCTCTATTTTGCTTGTAAGATTTATTTTCTCGATTACAATGGTTCACTTGAGCTTAGAGGCTGGGAATTGAGATATGGCAAAGTTTTATGACTTGAGCTGAGCCATGCCACAATTAAGCCAGAGAAAATCAGCTGAGTTCTCCAAGGAAAATGATGTAGACAAGGACAGAGAGGCCCCCCAAAATAAACTAATCAGATGGTAATTAACTATAATTGGTGAAATGATAACCACAGAGCCACACAATCATGTCTTTTAGGCTAAGAGAGGCTGTTACAATATTTATTTTGATTTTCCAAAGATTCCTTTTACACAAAGCTTATCATTTCTCTTTCCAGTGCACCTTTACAGATATTCAAATATTTCCATAGAAGTTGGGATTTGGGAGGAGCATGTCGCATTGTTAACTTCACCACTTACTGTATGTGCTTGAAGCTTTGAGATGCAGTTACAAGAAGTTGGAGCATGCATTGTGATGTCATGTTTGTGTAACATTGTTATTTAAGGTTTATGCCAATGTCAATAAAACTGATTAACTTTAAAAGTTTTGGCATGATATGCTACAGTTTGGGCACAATGTGCCTTTCTGGCATCTTATGGTTATGGTCAACCCAATATGCTTAGAATTCCAGAACTACAATAATCAAATGAAAGTTATAGTTATTTCTCATTAAATCACTACCAGTTATCCGAAGCTTTCTTTATTTCAGCAGTATATTTAAGAAATAGGGAGAAGTAATTATTGCTGCTAAAATACTGGGACCAATGTACTATAAGGATAACTAGAATTACCCTTTAAAATTCCATTGTAAGATCGCTAAATGCCAGAAAAGAAATTCCCTGATGAGGTATTATTTAGCTGCGATATCTGGATTGCAAACATTTAAACCAGTGGTTCTCAACCTGTGGGTCGGGACCCCATTTGGGATCGAACGACCATTTCACGGGGGCCGCCAAACAACGCAGTCCGCCATTTTTCCCCCTTTTTCTTAGCTGTGCTACTTCCTTTTATTCTATTGGCTTTTGAAAGCCAATAGAATAGACTCTCTTGAATAGAATCTAATTCTATTGGCTTTCAAAAGCCAATAGGAATTGTCCAGGCTGTCTCTGCCCTGCTGAGCCTGCCAAAAGTACCTTTCTGCAAACGGTGCTGCACCAGTTGAGTAGTCCTCGACTTATGGCCGGTTGAGTAGTCCTCGACTTATGGCCGGTTGAGTAGTCTTCGACTTACGACCGGTTGGGGTCGCGGCATTAAAAAGGTTGAGAACCACTGATTTAAACAAACATTGGATGATAGCAAAGTAGTTTCTGCATCTTTTTTGTTGCTGTTGAGTGATCATTCACCTACACAGGTGAAAAAAGATGACAAATCGGTATATTTTAAGCTGACTATTGGTAAAGCACAAATTGGGATAGCAAATGGATACATGTAAAGGATTATAAAGTATTTTGAGTCTTGGTTTTTCCTGACCGAAAACCAGGGGTGAATAGACAAATTACAACACAATGGGTGCACTGTTGGAAAACCTGAAAGGGTGGGGATCGATCATCTTGAACAAAATCTACAAGGCCAATTAAGAGTTAATAATTAAAAAAAATCAACAAGATGTTATTTGCCATGGCTCCTTTTGCTTAATAGCCATGTATTTGCCTGGCTAGCCCAGATTAAAGTGAAATTATTATCTGCATCAGAAGAAAAAGAGCAGATCATGCACCCAGCTCTTTTGCACAGGCTCAGATGGTCAGTGAAGTACCCCTGGGTACCAGCTGAGTAGAAAGAAACCTGTATGCAGTTCATATCTGGTCTGGTCCCAAAGTTTTTCTTTTTATGGCTCTTTTTATACCTGTGATGTATTTTAACTCCATTTTGATAGAAATAAATGGAGTTCATTGTCAGTTCCAGCAATTATTTGTACTTGGTTGTATACTTCTACAAACAATTTTGATAGGATTCCTGGAAGAGAAATTGTCTGGAAAATCTAAAGGTATAGTTGCTTGTATGTGTGCGCAAAGGGGCAATCCCTTTCTCTGCTAGTTGAAAAGCACTGGTGAACTAAAGCTGATTTAAGAGACTCAAGTGTGGTCTAGTCTCCAGAGAACAGATTGTTTGCTTTTGTGTGCACTGTAAGAAGCCAATGGTGCAGGTAAGTATGTAATTAAGGGCTTATTTAAAATTGAGATTCTTTTACACCAGTCTGCTGCATGCTCACAAGGAATAATAACACACCCCTTATACTGTGTTTTGGCCTCTGTAAGTACTCTACTTTCCAGATTATTCTTGGTTCATGTTACCAATTATCTGGGTGCCACACGCGTGGAGTTTGGTCCTAAGAAACATTATAGGAAA